GGAGGGACCCCGAGCACCACCGGCCCTGGGGGGCTATCCCAGCACATGACTTACACGTCCTACATCCTCAAGCAGACCCCCCAGGTCTGGTCATTTCTGACTGGTGTCTTTTAAGTCATTTCGTTCTTTAATGCTCCCTTGGAGCCCTGGGGGCACAGTGGTTAAGAGCTTGGCTGCTAACCAAAAGGCCAGCAGTTCGAATCCACCAGCTGCTCCTTGGAAACCCTGTGGGGCAGTTCTCCTCTGTCCTTTAGGGTCGCTATGAGTCGGGATCGCCTTGATGGCAGTGGGTTTGGTTTGGTTTTGGTTTTTTATTATAAGGCGGCTGATGATCTCTTTACAGCTCCAGGGCCTGGGGTCAATACTAACGTTTTTGACATGTTATAAATGTTATTTTGGCCTTCTTTTGTTTTGAGAGTTGACATTTAGACCATGAAATTTGCAGTAATACTAATAGATAGCAGTTCCTGAGAGCTTGCTGTGTGCAGCGGGTATAGAGTGCGAGGCACCCTGCGTTGGTTGTCCCGTTTAATTGAGCCCTGTCAACAGTCATGTCAGGGCTGTCATCCCTTCGCTTTACAGAAGAGGAAATAGAAGTTCAGAGAGATTCACTAAGTGACCTCTCCGAGGCGTCCTTGCTAAACTAGCAGTAGAATGTGGATTTAGACCCAGATCTTTTGTGACTCAGAAACGGTTCTCATTATGCTCATTGTCTCCCAGATGCCTGAGGCGATAAGCAGCATTAACGTGCAGCTGAAAATGTGCTCCTAGAAGGGAGTATCAGGTCGTGGTATTTAAAGTTAGGTTAGATTCAAGGTTAGGAGCAGATGCCTAACTTCTTCCCCTTGTCACTAAAGTTTCTGAGGAAGATAACGGAATTTTGGTTCCAGAAGTTCTTACTGAGAAAGGAATAATTATCCATGTGAATGATTTGATCCACCCTTGAGGACTTTAACTAGATTGCAAACCTTGAGTTTCCATCGGCCTGCTCTGTGACTACTGTGCAGAGCTTGAGAAATGGGGTAACTGTTGGTGGTGGTACTGAGAGCTGTTCTTTTCACTTCTTTTTAACCAGGTTGCAGCATCGGAGGAGAGCATTAGAGCTTGTAACATGGGGCCTTGTGATTTAAAGAATGAGAGCAAGCGTTTGAAGTTAACAGATTATTGATGTGCTCTTTATTGTTTCTTCTCACGTAGGGCACGTTTTTAGTTGGCCAGCCATCTCCTCAGACGTCTGGAAAACAGCTGACTGCTGGATCAGTGGTCCAGGGAACGCTTGGAGTCAGCGCGTCCTCTGCGCAAGGACAGCAAACATTGAAGGTCATCTCTGGACAAAAAACCACTTTGTTTACGCAGGTAAATACACACCCCGGACATGTGGATCATGATGTTTGTTTATTTACGTATTTACTGCTTATCTCTTCCCACAAAGAAATTAAAGTAACATAAGAAAATGAACAATAATACAGCATAGAAAAATAAGAATGAAGTCTTGAGGTTTGGTAAAGTCTAAGTGAATGAGAAGATAAGACTAGAGGGTTATTTAGATATGCAAATAGTAAGATCCTGTGCAGTTAATAAAATGTAGACATTTGGCATCCAGAGAAAAATGAGAAGCGTGATCAGTCATAAAGTTCACACTCTGAGAGGACCGACCAAAAAAACAAAACCAAACTCACTGCCATCAAGTGGATTTCGACTCACAGCAACCCCATAGGACAGAGTAGAACCACCCCAGAGGGTTTCCAAGTATTTGAAAAGGGTGTTAAAATGCCTCCCCTTTTCCAACTACATATCTGTGTAGGTCGGATTTTCTTCATATAATTCAAAACAATGTGCCACAGTAGGAAGAAGGAAGCGGGGGAGCTGTGGTACAGGGAGCCCAGGAGACGTACCAGAGCTGACTGCTGTTAGCCTGCTGGCCAGCCAGTCCCTCTTGGTTGCTATGGGATTGTTTCCGGCCCTCAGCTTCTGCCGTCCACGGATGTAGCGCACATTTGGTGCTTCTTCGTATTTCCTGG